GTTCCCCTACCTGAAATGTGGACTGTCTGCGATGTTGATTCTCATAAGCAATCATAGCTTGCTGAGCTTTCTTCATATGTTCAACAACATTTTGTAGCAACTTCTCATATTGCACACCGTATTCAAGTGTGCCTGGAGTTGCAGCGGGTCGGTTTTCAGGTAGGAGGAAGTCTAATGCTGATCTAGGCTTCCATCCTAAGTGCAGCTGGTTAGGACTAACGCCGGTACTACTATGTATAGCATTGTTGTACAAGCTGGCGATGAGAGGTAACTGCTTATCGCAGTCATCCTGGTTGGGCTTGATGTAATGCCTCAGCAAGTGTTGTACAACTCTATTCATTTGTTCGGCCTGTCCGTTGGCTTCGGGATGATTCCCTGAAGTCATTTGAAGTTGACTGCCCATCTGTTCCGCAGTCTTCTTCCACAGCTCACTTGTGAATCGGACGTCTCGGTCACTAATGATGGTCTTTGGTAAACCAAAGTCCCTTACCCAGTTGTCCTTGAACAACTTGATGACGTATTATGTCTTGGCTGTCTCTGACATTGGTATTAGTCTAGCGTACTTGGTGAATCGGTCAATGATGACGAAAATGTGCCTCTTACCACTCTTGCTGGTCACAAGAGTGTCCTTGAAATCCATGGAAACACTCAATCCTAGACCATCAGGGATAGGTAAAGGCTTCAATAACCCAAGCTGTGCTTGAGTTCGCGGCTTGTCCCGCTGGCAGACCTGACAGGTCTCAACATACTTCTTTGCGTCATCCAACATTCTGGGCCACCAAAATCGCTGTACTAAGTTAGCACTCGTCTTCTTGTGGCCAAAGTGCCCAGTTGCGTCATGACATTCGCCTAAAAATAAACTACGCAACTGTTCACTAGATGGAACTACCAATCTCTTTACTCCGGCCTTATCAAGATAGATTAGCCCATCCACCATCACAAACTCACTTTTTGTGGCCTTGTCTTTTGCCTGAAGTTTGCGGATGATGTCCATTGTGACAAGGTCTTCCTGATAGGCTCCCACCAATGATTGAGTTACTTCTTTAGATACGCCAAAGTCAGAAACTAGCGCACCTAGGTAGTCTGCTCTACGGGATAGCGCGTCTGCAACCTTGTTGTACTCTCCATTCAGGTACTCAAGCTTGAAGTCATATTGGTCTATGACCTCAATCCATCGCTTGAGTGCATCAGAAAGAGCCGGTTGAGTCTTGATCCATTTGAGGGTCTGATGATCAGTCCTCAGATAGAAGAACCTTCCCAAAAGGAAGTGTCTCCAATGGACAAGTGCATTGTAGAGAGCATAGAGTTCCCTTTCGTAGGTGGACTTAGCCAACTTTTTCGATGGCATCTTCTTACTCATGTACTCAATCGGTCTCAACTTTTTCCCATCCTGCTGAGCCAACACTGCGCCAATGCCGCATTGGCTTGCGTCAGTGGTTACTATGAACGGCTTCTGCGGATCGGGAACCATGAGAACTTCATGATTCATGAGTGCATGCTTCAATTGCTTGAAAGCACCTTCGAACTCATCACTCCAGTCCCACGGCGTGTCAAGTCGAGTTAGATCTGTCAAAGGAGAGGCGACTGTAAAATAGTTCTTTACGAAGTTCCTATAGTAGCCGCACAGTCCTAAGAAAGATCTGACCTCAGTGACTGTCTGAGGTCGTGGCCAGTCTCGAATACTAGCCACCTTCGCATCTTCCAGCCTAATTCCCTCCGCGGATACTTCATGACCCAAGTATAGTATCTTAGTGCGACCGAATTCACACTTCTCTAAGTTGACCTTATACTTGTGCTGTCGAAGGAGTGAAAGTACCGTCTCAACATGCTGTGCATGCTCCTCGGCAGACTTACTAAAGATCAGAATGTCGTCTAGGTAGACCACGACAAACTTATCTAAATGGTCATGGAAGATCCGATTCATAGCGTGTTGGAATGTACCCGGCGCATTGCAAAGACCAAAAGGCATCACTACAAACTCATACAGACCATATCTAGTCTGAAAAGCTGTCTTGTGTTGGTCCTCAGGTCTTATTGCGATCTGATGCTATCCGGATTTCAAGTCTATCTTAGTATAGTACTTGCATCCCTGCACCCTATCCAATAGGTCGTCTATGCGAGGTAGAGGCTCTGCGTTCTTCACAGTGATGGCATTGAGGCCTCTATAGTCAATGCACATCCTCAAAGTACCCCCCTTCTTTGGTACGAATAGAACGGGTGATCCGTAGGGGGAAGTACTAGGCCGAATCCAACCCTTGTCTGTCAGCTCCTTAAGTTGTCGCCGAAGTTCATCTAACTCGGTGGGGGCCATCCTATAGATCCTTCCCTTTGGGGTCTTACTCCCTGGAATGATTTCTATAGCGTGGACGACTTCCCTATCAACAACTCCTGTGGGCTCCTCGAACAGATCAGGGAACTTAGCAACGAAGCGTTCTATCTCTGGGGGTGTTTTAACGGCCCCCCCCTTCTCAGAGACATAAACTAGGTACATACCCTCCTCTTGGTTTTACTTGTAATAGTTGTAGAACGAGGATGCACACAAGCAGCCATAGGTATCTACAATACTACTGGCCTTGAACTTGGTCAATCTGACAGTTCGGCCATCGAGCAACTTGTGTTTGAGCACCTTCTTATCCCAGTCGAACTGGGGCTTAGCAACTTCGAGGTAGTACATGCCTAACAGTATATGGAATGGCAAGTCGTCGCTAACCAAGAACGAGATTTTATGGTTAAGCTCACCTCCTCCATAGGAGAAGGTACAGACCACGTCCTTGATGTAGTCTGTGACAATCATGCGCTCTTTGTTGGCCAAAGTAGATGCTACTGGTCTACTAAGGTGCCGTACCCGGTCCTGTAGGTGCAGCCTTTCCAAACAATCGCGACTTATGTAATTCCGCGTGGATCCATTGTTTATGAAGGCACCACATTTGCGGCCTCCTACGTCCACCTCCACTACGAAATGTTCCTCTCTACGACCCTTCTTTAGCGCCACCCAAGACTCGCGGGGGTCCTTGTTTGACCACTCGCCTTCTAAGTCTTCTAAGGCCTCAGACACATCTAACGTACAAAGCATAGTTTGGTCTAGATGCGTCTGCGGGGTGACTAAGGAGTCATTAGCTTCGGCCTTGTCATGAAGTGAGGAGGGTATCTTGCTCACTTCATCTTGAGTAGAAGCCACTACTACTTCCATTGGCCCTACGCGTTTCCCGAGCTAGAAGCCTGGGAATAAGATGCCCCCATCTTTGGAGAAATCTTTTGCGTAACCTTAGGATTCTGACACTTCCACTGCGTGTGACGTATTCTCCGCAGTTGATACAAGCGCCACGCATTCGGCGGTCACACCACACATCTTGATCAAGACCTGCCTTAACCGACTCAGCCTATTTGGTCTGATTGGAGGCGGCCTTCCCGTGACTCCTAGGTTGGCCCTTCCCTCAGCCACCTACCTTAGTCTTTACTACTGCGGCGAGGGTGCTACCCTCAGCTATCTCCTCGTCGTCAAACTCTGTGTAGTCCACCAGGTCAGAGAGCTCGTCGATCTCTGTTTGAGTCCCATCAGACTCCACCATCATCAACTTCRCCYCCTTCTTCTTCCACTCCTGAGGACTCTTCTTCTTCTTTGAGTCATTTCCTGAGGTGGGTTGAGCATTGCCTAGCGTGGCCTCCAAATCTAAAGYCTTCCTAGACAATGTCTCAAATGAGTGATACTCGGTGAGTGCCTCACTGGCTAGTAAGTTCCTGATGTTCTCTGGAAGACATCTAATGAAAGTAGTTAACAGGAACTGGTCACTGTAGTTGATGCCCGGGACAAGGATCAGGCTCTCAATGGTAGTCGTAAGCTCTCTAACTGACCGAAACTTGCACTGGTCTAGTTTATTTATGGCATCAGTGGCCCTTTGCGCCTCCTGTGGGTTATGCCATCGAGCTTCTACCATCTCCATGAACTGGTCTAGAGTCAAAGACTTGGCCCAGTCCGCCATGCGTCGCCCGTACCCAGCTTTCACAACTACCCCATCTAACCATTTGGCTGCCTTATCCTCTAGGTAAGATGCCGCGGTTACCACTTCATCGTCTGGCAAGGTCCTTTTGGCCTTCACCCAAACCGAAACCGTCCTCAACCATGTGTTGAGTTCCTCGTCCTTCCTCTCGCCTGAGAAGGCAAGAGGCGGTTTCATTGGGGTCTTGGGGTACCATTGACCTTGCTGTTGTCCCTGTTGAGAGACAGGTTGTTGCGGTGGTGTAGCAACCACCGTTGGACCCGAAGAAGAAGATGCAACAGTCTGTGAGACTGCTGCAGACGTACCACTAGGCTGGGTACCAACTTGAACTGGAAAGGGGCCTGACATCGCCGATAACGGCAACGGCGATTGTGTTGGTGGCCGGAATCCTCGCTTTGTCAATGCATCCAGGATCTGGTCCAAAGTGCTCTGCATGAAGTCCAACCTGCTGTCTACGTGCGCATGCAGTGACAACATGTTGTTCTTCAACACTTTCAGGGGGTCAGACAAACCTGTTCCGTCCAATCCCTCTAACGCAGTCTTGTCAGCCTCTAACGTATCAAGTCTGGCCGCTTTACTTTTTATCTCTCTTTCTCTATCGGTTGCTTTCTTCAGATCCTCCTCTAACTGCTGGCGGAGCCTCTCGACCTGCTGGATCTCTCTGAGCTCCCTCTCACGTGGGGTCAACGGGCTGAACTGCGAGCCCGCCATTTGACTAGAAGACTGTCTAGACCCTGTTGAACCGGAAGTGCCCAAGGAACTCGTGGAACTCAGTGGCATTCCCAACTGATTCCCACTAGTCCCTGACGAGGACGCAGACGATGACGCGGCAGAGCTGGTACCGCTAGCCATTGCTGCTGCTCTGGCTGTTGTTGTCCGCGCTCTTGCTACTTTGTTTGCTTCCTGTAGTCCTGGTGCTAGAGCACGGGCTCTACGTTCGGCACGAAGCCGTCTTTCTTCTCCCTCGTCCAAGGTCCTGAACACGTGCGGAACCCTTAATGCTTCCGAACGTGTAAGTCTCCTATTGTCAGCTCTATCATCAACAGGATCTGATCCACTCATTAGTTAGGCAGATAGTTTCTGCACTAGGATCCCCTAGTGGAATCCTACCACAGCATGTATCTGACCGACACCTAATTTTCTAACAATAGTTGTGTCCGACGAGTATCCTACTATACCGAATCAAGTGGCATGTCTACAACATTCACACAGATTGTCTACATAGTCTAGATGCACCCTGAATGGTTCACTTACAGCAGCATTAGTTAGAACTGGCTATGGTAGCATACTACAGTCCTACACTAATTCTGTCTGTGAGGTTAGCAGTCCGTCAACCAACTAATCAAAGGTACAAAAAGACAATGTAGCAGATGTATGATTGATGGGTATACAGTTGAGCACCAATTGGAACCTACCCTTCCCCTCAATCCAACCATCCGAACAACATCATTGACCGAGCAGTGTCTTTGTGTGTGTATCGGCCCACCCCTGTGCCCAAGTTGTCACCGAGCAAGCCAGCCCAACCACTCTTATTTACCCTCGTACGGCGACGAGCCTTCCTGTCCATGTGATCTGGCTGATCAGGAGGTATTTATAGAGCTCCCCCATCTCTTCACGAATTCTTTAACGTCGCAGACAGGACGACGATCACAGCCAGATTCACAATGAACTCCCAACCATAAATATTTATAGACGGTCTGGTAAGCGTCTGTCATGGGCTGGCACACCCGGAGCAACTTCTATTTGGCGCAGCAAAGTTCCTTAATGGACAGCAGCCATCGCATGCGTGACCTACTCCCATTGGGTTGGCATGGTGACCGTGACCCAGTGCTTCAACCAGGGCCCTTCAAAGACACCGCCCTTTCTCCTTCCAGATGCTTCCGGGAAGATTGTCGTCTCTCAAGGTAGCGCGCACACGACACCGCACCAAGGAGAGGACTCTCAAGTTGGACTCACTTCCTCACGGTAAGAAGAGATTGAGAAGGTAGATAAGGTAAGGGATCAACATACCTGGAGATTGCTGCCCCCAACCACAGATTTCTCACCAATTGAGCTGATGTTGCATTTGATGACCGGTCATGACCTCGGTACCACCCACAACGCAATGCAGTGCCACCTTAGTCCAATGCCACATCAGCATGCTCTCATCATCAATCAAACATTCCGCTATATCCCACGGCATACAATGCCGGAATAGCCTTCCGGTGCACCCCTCTCTACCCAGGGCGTGCACCTAACAATGGCCAGACGTCACAAGTACCAACTGCGAAGAAGCATCATCAACGCACCAAGTCTGTATAATGCCAGCATGCCGAAGGTAAGTGGCGATCAAACCAGCTCYGATACCAAATTGCAAGGAACATGAGTATGGACGAAGCACAGAAATCCAGAATGCAAAATCACAATGAAGTCCAAGTATTCAATGCCAAAGCAGATAGCACATGGAACCGAGTAACCATCCAATTGAGATTGATACAAAAGAATCGCGAGTCAATATCCATGCCCATCAGGGCAACACCAACAGCATAACCCAAATGTAGCTCTCTCTTGTGAATGGCGCCAGGCACCCTATCTACTCTACAGCCTATCCTTCAACCTCAGCAATGAACAGCAACCAGACAACTTGACTACCAGCGAGTGATGATGTCAACACCAATGCCGTATTCCACCATCACCAGGTACGTGTCCTCTTCCCCGCACTCTCCCTTGTACCCACACAGCGCCCTTCACCTCCGAAGAACCACCTTCGCCCTTTACCCCTCTGCGCCCTCTGCAGCCCGGCTATGGCTGCCAAATGCCCTGTATGCAGGCAGCGCCCTACCGCCTAGCGCTGGCCTGCTTGCTCTTAGCGCAGCACTGCCTTGCACAGCGCAGCACA